CACTCTATAATGTTGCTGTGGGACTTTGGTGGTTGTTCGTCTGAAGTACAACTCGGAGGAGGATCGCATAAGACGTACATGTCTCGTGGCGCATCGGCATAGATGCCTCCTTCTGTTCCCCCTTGAACTTGATAACAGGTACGACTGTAATATCATGGTCATTACCGAAGATAAACCCTTCCAATTGAATAGGAACGTGCCTTGTTCTGTGTCCCGGGTTTGGGTTACCCTCAGCTTTCCTACAGTCCCGTTGCGCGACGCTGCATGTCCCAGGATATTTTAAACGCAAATCATGGTCATCAGAAGGTGGGTACACACCATGCATAGCGGCCGCAGGAACACCTTGGATGGAAACTGAATCTGCACCTCTATTGCCGCGATACGTCTCGAGAGAGATCTCCTTAGCATCGTCTAGCATTGCAGTTTCGGCTAACGAGGGCAGGCGCGGCCTGGTTTCTTCGCGCAAAGCCAGTAAATGTGCGGTAGAATCCTCGCCCCGTATTTCAACCACAACTGGATGCTCCCCATCCTCCGAGTCATTGCTATCGCCGCTCATCTGGATTGACATTCCGTCCGAATCGATTTGTTGCGGAGGGGGAGCCGAGGCTGAATTATGCACCGAAGCATCCGAAGAAGTTGCAGAATTTTCATGGCGGTTAAGGCGCGACAAGACGCTGCGCAGACGGCTGGCGATCCCCGTGCGTGCTTCTACCGCCGCAGACTCACGCGAATCCGACCGCCAGCGGCGGGCACGGAGAAAATCACCGATGTGCGTCATCCATCGAGGGGAGGCAGACTCGGACTGGGTGTAGACAAGTTTGGGAAGAAATCCGAGATCTCAAACAGGATCGTTCAGCACTTCACCAACGCTCCGTTGATCGATGTCTGCGGACAGAGAAGCTGGACGGTTGCCTAGATCGAGGCTGGACACACTTACGCCCCGCGTTGGTATGAGGAATCTCGCTGTCGTGTTCTCTGTATGTAGACGTGAATAATTTCTCCCAACGTGTTATCCGAACAATAGAAATGTACGCCCTCATCAAGATATCAAATTGCAAGCTGTTCGGTGTTGTGGTTGGAATAATGTTTTCTATGGCGTCACCAGTTGCAAGTGTCGCCGACATCGGCAAAAAAGACTCAGCTCGGGGCCTGACGAGGAATAAGTCCGAAATCAGGAGGAAACATAATTAAGAAACGTACAGCCGAAGTAATCGCACAATCTCAGCAAGACTGAGATAGCATGTGTCGGTCATACTCCACCCACAGCCCGGCACCCCGACCAGGATCGCACTGGCCATGAAGTCGATTCCTTGGTGGTCAAAGTTTATAGCATTCTGGTGTTCGGCTTCGGCTTCATCCATGTCCAGCGCGAGGTCTTTCAAAACACGGAGCATGCGGCCCAAAATCTTATTGAAAACTGTCATGTGGAATAATCCGACCCCTCGCCAGAAGCTGAGGAGTTCCAGGACACTGGTCAGATATCGCTGGGCAAGGGCGTCGAAGACAGAACTTGCGCTGGGTAGAACGTAATTAGAAGCGCTCGATTCAGTTCTGACAGCGCACCTGCATTCCGACGCAATCAAAAGGCGCTCGATGACGCCGAGGCCGCTACTGTCCGAGTCAATAATACCCAAGCATCCTGCCGGGATGGTCCCTAGGATTGCGGAAATATGTGTTTCGGACAGACAAGCAGCCGCATATCTGCAGTGGTGATCCCATTTGTGAGGCTGCGTGTCATCCGCGCGCGCCCAGACCGCGGAAATTGTCGCCTCTGTATTTGCAGTTCGTTGAAGGTGCTTAGATTGAAGGAAGAGGGTACGCGTCCCATGGTACCGCGTGGCGATCGTCACGATACATTTGAACGTTTCAACTTGCGTCCGTGCCGTTTCGCATCTGCAAAGCACAAACTCAGCCTATTGAATATAATACGAAATTTTACTCGCGGCAGTGAATATTTCATCAGCTTGGAACACTCATCCTCAAGCCACGGACACTTGCGGGTGCGCAACGCTTCCAGCTTGTCCTCTCGGTGCTGCCCCGTGCCAAAATACGCTTCGATGCGCTCGGCGGTTGCGGAGGGACCCCGTCCCCACCGATGTGCAGCGCGGTTCGCCCGCGCTTCTACGAATTCCCCGACGCGCGAATACGCTTGATGCATGGTTCAGCCCACTCCAGGGTCGTTCAATGAGCCACGAACGAGTTGCATTCCGTCCGCGCGCTGATTTGGGCGCATCAGAGACATGGAGGTACTGGCCGACATTGGAGACAGGAAAGACGACACTGCAGGAGACCGACACAGGTCGAAGCAGCCCGCTACTAAAAACAAACGCGCACGGCATGCACGTGTTCAACAGCTGTTAAGAATGTGGCTATCCAAGCGTTCGACCTGTCCGACATGGCGAAAAGGCACAATTCCAGTCCAGTTGGGAATCCGGAAGACAGCTCAAGATTCGGAAAGCCCGAGCGCGGCTGGTTCAACCGATAGCAAGTATGTGGATTGATGCCTCAGGCTCATATACAAGAAGCACGCGGGTCGTCGAAGGATATATTATTTCCGGGGAACTATTACAGAGCGGCAGTCCTAGTAGTATCAAGTTAGAGGTCGATCCAACTTAAAAAAAATTGCACAACGGACCGACTTTTGAGTCTTGGTTGAATGAAAGAATAGACAGAACAGGGGGAAAAGAGAAGAAAAGGTCCGGGACACAAGAGACCCATCCCTAACATACGGCAACTGTAACGAATCGCTGCAGACCATCCCGTCTATAGGCTACCGGACGCGCACGAAGGCAAGTACAACCGGAGACGGAGCACTCGACGCGCAGGAGCAAACCTCCCTATCAGTGCGCCCAGCCCAGCCAGATATGTCGACGCCCCCCCTCAAGAATCACAGCGCACGTCAGTGACCAAGTCCGCGAGGGATTCGGGTCGGATCGCAATGTGCGCGAAAAATGCAAAACAAGACCGGTCGTCCGCTGGACGAACGAGGGACGGTCTTCTGCGTAACCAAAGCAAAGCACCCTCGCAGAGATGAACCAAGATAAAACGCCGTTCGCCGACGCTGTCCGCCGCGTAGGAAGGAAAGAAACTATACAAACAGGAAAGAATGACAACACGCACCTACGCTGCGTTGCCGCGGCGGAGACAAGAGCGGGGGGTGAGCCGGGTGAGAATACTGGCTCGCCGGCGAGGGCGAGTGGGCGTCGCCGTCGCTGTTGGGGTCCTCGACCTCGCCGCGGTCCCGGAGTCGATGGACAGATGGTGCGTGCCACTGCGCGGTAAGCCGGGTGTTGGAGTTGGAGCGGACTCCGCCAACGCGGGGGAGGGCGGTGTACAGGCGAGCGTGCTTCATCGCTGTCCGGTCGAAGCGAGACATTCTCTAGCAAGGTGGTGGCAGAAGCGAGAAAGTGGCTGGCAAGAAGAGAACCCGGTTTATTCCGCGTGAAAATTAATGTGGGGAGTCACTGTGACGTCACGCTTCCCCGCATTCTCCCGCGCGGAAGTCCCCTTCTCTCTTACGGCCGCCTCTCATCGCCCCCGCTCAAGCCCGCTCTATTTCCACTCTTCAACCAATACAATCTCCTTTCCCCACAACTTGCGTTCCAGCCCGTTCTTTCGTTGGAGTTCTCCCATCGATAGGCCGTGTCTAGCCCTGTCGACGCCACGGTATCAAGAGCGTCACTCATGACACGGTGAAAGAGGTTGTTTTGCGGGTACGATGAATGCTCTTTGGTTGCTCTTTCTGTCTGAATTCACGGCCTGGGTACGTCCTGGCCTCGAGATGGGCATCACTGCCAACATATAACGGCGTCCCGCACTACAATCATGGCCGCCTCGTTTTCAACTCGGGGTTAACTTTGTGCCTCTGAATCATGCCGAGTCTACGCTGTCTATCTGGGAGTGAAGTTGAACCAATTTCAATGAACGGGACTAAACCGGGGTCTCCTTGTTCCCCATGCCCATGCCCATGCCGAGTCTCCTGAGCCAACGGTGTCTTGTCCATGGCTTGCACATAAATCGCCTCCCGCCTCCCTCTGGCGAACCTTTCCAAGCTTCCGCGGAATATATGTAGGATAATTACGGATGGATTGGCAGAGAGCTTGGATGAAACAAAGCTGAATCTTCTACCATACCCTTGACTATAACTCAATACAGCTCGTGGCCTCGTGGTGTAATGGAGGGAAGCTCCTGCAAAGGTTGGTCCCGAAAAGTGGCTTTTTGAGGCCGAAATTTCACGATTTCCTCGACCGAAACGTGGCTTTTTCACGCTCAAAATCCGGCGACCCTTGTCCAAAAAGTGGCTTTTCGAGTCCGGATTTCCAGATTTTGCTTCGACCCAGCTCCTTCTTCCGTATGTTCGACAATGCCGATGAAGCTCGATGGACAGCGACCGCAGGGATGTTTCAGGTCGTCGGGAGCAAGTCGGGAGCTTTGAAAAGCCGCTTCGATGACCGGGCTGCACGGGGGAAAAATTTTGTCGACACCGGCTACCCCCCGTCCCAAAGTGGCTTTTTGGGGTTGAAATTGGCGAAAGCGAGTGGCTTTTTTAGGCTGGATCTTGGGATTTTTTGGGACCAACCTTTGCAGGAGCTTCCCGGGCCCTTGTAATGGTAACACACCCTCCTCTAATAATTCTCATTCGCAGCAAATGTATGAGGGTGATCCTTGTTTACTAGTTTACTATTGTATACCACGCCTCTGCTTAATACAAAACTGAAGTCCTGTGTGTTTAGTACCGTCCACTGCGGGTCTTATCTGAGTCTGGTTGGTCCCAAATCAAGGTGAGGCCGTCCCTTTTTCTCTCCCCCTTTTTGGGTCTTTCTTTTGGATCGCCATTCGTATCGTATCCCCAAACATGGAGACATTAGGCATATTCCACTCATACATAGCATTTTGCGGTAGTCGAGTCCGACCCGATATTCAACCCAGACAAAAGCAACAGATTTCTTCACACCCAAAACTCTAATCTAAACAATGGCGCTCAACACCCCACTAGGCACGGCCTCGTGGTGTAACGGTAACACATCCTGTTAAATTACATGTTTGTTACCGAGGTTTCTGAGAAAGTCCCTTGTTCGAATCAAGGTCAGGCCATGTGTCCGAGAGAGCAGCTTTTTATTTCTGGTTTCTTTCTTCTTCTTTTTCTTTCTGAACCCCTACTTGCACCCCCTGTCATCCCTCTGTTTCTCGCCCAACAACACGCTTACTACCCTTCGAAATATCTCTCAAATCAACTCTCTTGCACACCCAATTGAATATTGTGAGTTCAACTTTGTGAACCCGTAGCAGCCAATCTGTCGCGGAGCCGGATTCCTTCACATCCGCAACTCCAATCTAAACCCCGGAAACACCCCACTAAGCATGGCCTGGTGGTGTAACGGTAACATATCCTCTCAAATTAGCGCAGCGACCACACTTTTGAGGAGGTTCCTTGTTCGAATCAAGGTCAGGCCATAGTTTCTGACTGTCGTTTTGTTAATGTTGTTGTTCTTCTCCTTGCTTTTTTCTTTGTCCGAAACGCAACGTGCCCAGCCTGATGCCCCTCCCTTTCTCTGGTTATACAACGGAAATATCTCTCATTCCAACTCGTTCTCATAAATACAAAAGAGAATTGTAGATGCGGCATTTTTTCGGTTGAGTTCAACTTTATGAACCCGAAGCGGCGGATCTGTGCACTTGGACCAAATAAGATGACCATTTCTCTAGTGCTGACTTTGACTATAGGCTTGGTGGTGTAATGGTAACACACTCTTCCACTATAGGTGTCAAGCCTTGGTCTTGAGGGAGTTCCTTGTTCGAACCAAGGTCCAGCCATGTAACTCTGGTTGCACATTTTTTCCTATTTTTTCTTTGTTTCTTTTTTTTTCGCTCGGCTTCGACTCCTAAAGCCCACTCGCTCGTCCTGCCTCGTCCAATATTTGTCATTCATTCTCCTAAAGAACAAGGTTCTATTGCACCACAGCTGAGTAGTGCAAGTTGAATTCAACAATTCATCCAAGAATCTCCACTCAAAGATCTAAACACCCCCCATAATTATGCTGTGATGCTACCCAATACTCATGGCCTAGTGGTGTAGTGGTTACATGCCCTCTCTTGATAGTAGTACATAGGCTAGGTTCTGAGGGAGCCCCTTGTTTGAATCAAGGCTAGGCCATACATCTTTTCCGGCGATCTTTTTTATGCTTGAAGCTATCTTCCATTCAAGCCCTTCTGTACGGCCACTGCTTTCAATGTTGATCCGCCTCCTCCCTACTGACTATGTTCTCAAAAAAAAAAAAAACTGAAGCAAACCAAACTTGTTAATTTAACCTCAGATTTACAAGCTCGGTACCGGTACACTTGTATTACCCGAAAGTGCCAAGGGTATTCAAGGCCTGGTGGTGTAACAGTAACACGCCCTCTTATGGTATCCAAGTTTCTGCTTTTCCGAGGGAGCTCCTTGTTCGAATCAAGGGCTGGCTATACTGAATTTGAGGTCTTTTTTCGTCTTTTGGATGGGCGGGGGCCGGGGTTTATGTACGGTCTACGGTAAAGACATACAAAATTTAAGCAACGCGAGACGACTCCTTATGACAGAGCTACTGCTTTAGATCACGAAGAAAATATTACGAAGAGCAACCCGGAAGATACTGAGATTCGGAAGGGTCCATTCGAAGCTGAGGCTCTGACATGTGAGACCGTAAGCTTTTGGTACTTAGCAAGTGAATCTGGACGGAAGTACGTATAATCAGCTAGACGTTGGGACGAACATTGACGATTCCTGGCCTCTCTCGATCACCTCAAAAATTGTGGATCCAACACAGATAGAGCTCCATAACTCACCTACAAAGTGGCGGAAGCTCGTAAACGGTCATACGGGAAAGGCCTATGCACTCCGTTGTGCAATAAATGTGCCTTGACCGTTGAAGTTGACGAATGCCGAGGGAGCAACGGTATCACGGTTGGAATTGAACCAAGGTCACGTGTTTCGTGTGCAACTTCGTATTTCTCAAGCATCCGACGATTTATACAGCAATTCGGTGCAGCCATATTTGATTAGTGTGCAATGATAAATAGTTCGATCAGAATACAGAAATGAAGACACTGCCTGAGGATGGAGGCGGTAGTCGGGCCCACCTAAATAAAGTCGCCTCAAACATATATAATAAACACCGTAAATACCTCTCGATGCTCAAGCACATATTCTAAGCCTCGAGAGACCGGAACGGCTGTATATATGGTGGATCAAATCCGGTCCAAGGGAAAAAACCTTCCGAACCGTATCTTCCGGCACGGGTGCCATTGGGTGAAGTCGTCAATGCATATAAAACTCGGTAATCAGGCAGGTATCATCAAGTACAGAACTGGTGACACCGTGACCGGCATAGAAGGGTGAGCTGCTTGCAAGGTCTCGTCGCCCTTCTCCATGCCTACACCTGCACGACTCCCAGTGTGACCAATGCCATCCGGGCAGCGCATTCTCGAGCGGAGCCTCTGCTCTCGCCACTGCCACGGCCATACTCAACGCGATCCACTAGGAATTTCGTGAGAAACGCTCTGCTGTGCCACGGAAAGGACAGAGCATCCAGAGAACTTGAAAATTTGGTCTAACCCGGGCTCACTCACCATAAGCAATAGAATCCCACCCATGTCCGATAACCTGACTATCAGTGTATTCTATCGTGTTGCCCCAGGCTTGTGCGGTGTTATTCAACATAGTTCTATAGTCTATTGATTTTTTGTTGAATTGAAGGCACAATGAGTATCACATAGAACGTACGCTGTTTAGCCTGTGGACCGCGCGAGTATGATATATGCCCCCTCCCCCCCTGAGGCAGGTCGGTGATAGCCGGTGAACTTTTATCGCTGTCATCGAGGGTTGACCCCTTCAGTTTCGCGCCGCGGGTCCGGATAAAACCCAGTGCCTGAACAGGATTGTAATCGCGGGAGGCTGCCTGATCTAGAACATTCTTAGACACAAGCCATAGGTATTTGAAGGTAGGCAACAAACGATGCGCGGCGGTAGCGTGGACTTGAGTACTCGGTGGGCTCAAAGGTGTAACTTGGGACGTCTCCCGACCAGCTTGTATGGGAACATATTCTGCGTCTTCATTGAACGCCTGCAGGCACGCCCCCCCTGGAACACGATTAATGATAACTCGTTGATATGTAATGCTGCATAAGTACCATTAAAATTATTCACCCGGAAATTCCTTAACACGCGCCTGATGAGCTCACTGTCGCCGGGAATCTCGTTTTCTTCCTGCAAAGGAATCAGTGTCCAAAAGCATCGCCGGTGATTTACGTACTTCACTCAAGATCGACGCCCACTCATTGTCGTGGGTGACCGCAACTTTTGCGTCGACAACCTCAGAGTGGCCGAAGCTGAATTAGAGATGATGAATCGGAAGGAAAGGGCTCTCTCACACAGTCAAGGAGAAACTCGTTGATTACAGTTGAAGGGTGATAGAACTGAGAGTCTTTCAGTCAATTAACGGACAATGTTATTTCACTGCTCACCTTGGAAGCTTCCGAAGAGCTCAGTGATTCATCATCACTTCCGCTATCACTATCACTTGTACTCCTAGACGCGGTTAGGGAGCTAATCGAATCTTTGGGACCGGTTGGCGATTTAGGGGGCGGCGTGGAAAATGGAATGAAGGTGCCTTTTGAGGGTATATCGGACCATTTGGAGTTCACGATATCACGTATCTTGGGTGCTCGCCTCAGTGTTGGCTTTGAACGTACAGCGACTTTGAAACCCCGGAGAAATACAGTCTGATTGTCCTTCCAAGATTCCTCCCCCAAGCGGCGCCGGGGACCAGAGTTCACGGACGAGCCCCCACTTTCCGACTCCCATGCCCATGCGGCACCTGCACTGCCAGCTTGTGCGGCTTTGAGCTTGAGTGATATTTTCCCCTCGCTCGAGTGATCTTCCACCGCCGCGACGCTCCAAGACGTCGACTTGGTGACCCCAGTGACAAGGTAGAGGTCACCATTTCCAACCATATACTGGAGATCGCCATTGACAAATGCGTACCAGTTCTGCGCGTGTTTCAAAGCGTAATCGCGGAACAGCCCCTGGCGGCGCAAGTCCCAGCGGGATGCGCCATCAGGTAATAACAGCAGTCCAGTTTGTTTCGAATCTATTGACACTTCGACCACTGCGCCTGCCCCGAAAGGAAAAAAGCTGTGTTTAGATGAGCGTCAATGTGTCGGACTCACTCGCAAAAGTACTCACACGTTCTCAAGGCCAGCATCCACATCGAGGCGCCTTTTGCTGATACTCGTATTGCATATGTGAGAGCCTGGGAGATGCGCCAAAGCGCTGGTGGCAATGGCGTCAGGTCCGAGAGGGATTTGCTCGAAGGCGGGGGGAACACCGAATCGGTTGGAGGGATCGTCTCTGGTACGACAAATATTGAAGATTGGGTCGAAAGATCCATTCTGGGTGATCCGGCCAACGTCTCCGATTTCAGTGCCAATTTTCCGAACTGAATCTGGGAGGTCATCGAATGGCGCTGGATGAAACAATGGGTACCCCTGCTTCTTTGGAAAGAGGAGTCGGCTATAGAGCTCGCTGTCCGACATGTGGAGGTTCGCTGAGATGAGGGCAAGAGAAGAAGTTGCAAGGGCAGTGCGAAAACCGCTCTGCGTCTGGTATTCTGGGAAAGCTGTAGAGGTTACAGCATTTGGCTGGTTTAGAGCGGCAGATGTGTGCCACTGACATGATGGACGGAGATTCTATAAAGACCGGGTTAAGGCTTCACAACCGTGTCCAGGTGAGCGGAAGCTGGGGAAACCAGGAGCTAGAGGTGGCCGTGCCACCATGAATCCAAGGTCTATTCCTGGGCCACGCTGTAAGAAAGGTACAGAGCAACCCGAAATGTATTTGAAGACCCCCCGGGCCCCGGCACACCCCGAGGCGCAGGTCCACGTAGTCAACTGAATTCTTGCTAAGACTTGCTGGATTCAGTACTGCCAGTACTTAGCACGCCGACAGGCAAGAGCAGGTTTGTGCGTCCACGCACAAGTCGCGGAGATATCACCGTGAAAAAGCCCGGATTCTGTAAGATGCGCCCGATAGTTGCGTCTGAAAGACGCATATGCTGATTCTGATCGATATGTTCAAGCAGTGAGTGGTGGCCGAGAGTGAGTCTGTACCGGCGCGCCGAGCCGTCTGATCAAGGTCTGATTGCCGAAAGTCGCGCCTCGTTTGCTCCGAGTTAAACCTCTCATCTTGAGGCGTGAGCCCCTCGCATGTCCTACTTACCTCGCTGACCGCGCTCATCCAACGCCATCGCCTGCTCACGGCTCGAATGTACTTCAAGTTCTCCCTCCCCGACCTCGCACCGCAGCTGTGCGCGGGTCTGCAGTAAGTCTGCCAAAAGTCTGCGCCCCAGTGCGCCGCAGGCCGCCCGATGCGGCGCTGCATCGAGTCCCCGCTCTCCCTGCGAGTCCTCGGATCCAACCCGCTCGTTTCCCCGTGCGCATTAGTCCATATGCCGCGGGCTTTCGAGTCAAGTTTGTGAGCTGGCTCGCCTTGGGTTCGTTGGCTTTTGTTTTCGGATCCAAGTGGATTCTATTTTTCGCCGGCGCTCTAGACACTGTCGCAACAATGCCATTTTCCGAGACGAAAGCTTTCGTTTCAATGCACACGTAAGTATTTCGACTAATACAACGCTCCCAATAATTAGCGGTGGATCTCAGTTGCGAACTCAAACTACCCCACGACTATTCTCCCTCACCGTCTCCTCCAACCCGGTGAATCCCTTTTGATAATGCTTCTTCAACAACGCCTCCGCACTCTGGTTCGGAATCTCGCTCAAGTCCCGTCCCAATCCCGGAACATCCTCGATGAACTCCCGCCCGGGGTTCTGTTTCCTCAACACCGCGAGAACGTCGTTCCAGTTGTACGTCGCGCCGAACGCGAAGATGCGCTTCCCGTTGCAGGAAGGGTCGATCAATGCTGCGCCGTGCAGGCGGGTGGTGTCCACGACGTTGATGTACCACTGCGGGGGGGATCGGGAGAACGCTCTGCAAGTTGTCGCCGCGGATAAGGTTGATTAGCCAGGATGCGGTGCTGGAGCTGGCCTCGCCGCCCGGTTGGAGAATGGGTCCCCAGTTCATGTCGGGGATGACGCTGAAGACTTGAAAGTGAGGCTTGCTGCGCTC